TATGTTATCTGTAGGCAACTCAGGAATCACTTTTGACAATTTAGAACCAACTAGTAGTCGTCCATAAATTTGACAATATGTGTCCGCATCCGTGTAAATTTCGGGGGTCCATACCTAGTTAAATTATAATCGTTCGCAATCGTGTTGTTAAAAAGATCACTTTGATAAAAACCATCCGCAGTCATGTATCACCAAGCCATGTAGGTTCCTACTRTCTTTATACTTTAATAACTTTAAAACTTTAAACTAGGTATGATTATTTCATTGGGTTTTTTCCGATTACCCGTATCTTAAATGCTTAATCTTACATTTATAAATCAAATACAATTATAGTTTTGTAAAGATTTAAAATAGGTATTAGGTATTTATTTGTATCATTCATTATTTGAAATCATTTTAGATTTTTATATTACAGTTTTAAAATAGCATTTCAATGTACTTGGATATCTGCCATATTTTTCAAAGCTTTATTAACGGAAACTAGCAGCCGCTCAACCCTCTGTCTATCATCAACTATATGTTCTTCTTCAATAAGCACATGATCAATAGACCGATTAACTACATATGGAGTAAACACTAATTTGTGCATACAATTTTCGATATTATTCAAAACATGATTCACCATCTTAAATATTATACGTTTTGGCACGAAATCTCGTACATTTTTCCTGACAAATTCAAAGTAACAACGTGTTAAATTTTTATGCATCTTGACTTGCTTAGAAGATTCCATTGTTTTATCTAGATCGTTAAGGCCTGATAGTATCTGTTTAAATAATTGTTTTCTTCTTTCTTCTTCAGCCCTAATAAATTCATCATTTGTCAAACCTTTTTTGTTGGTAACATGAGTTGATATAAATGCATCTTGAATCACGTCAGACGATTTAACTAGTTCTAAAATGAAATCTGGGTTTGTTGTGTTTAAGCATGCCTGATAGGTTTCAATATATGATCTTATAAATTCTTTAATACTTGATAACGTGTAATCTATCATTTGGTTCAGCACCATTTTTACCTAAAATATAATAAAATTAYWATTATTATTTAGTATTTTTATAAAAGCAGGTAAGTATATGTTATGTAATCATCACGATCTATGAACTCAATGAATCTATTAGTATCTATTATAGTATAATACTACTATACTTAGTAGGTATAGCAATTATTACCCACAAACTACAAAGTAATTGTAAATTGTACCTAATATTCACGGACGAAATATCCGAAATTTTGAAATGCAGGCATAAAATAGGTACCTATATAAAGAGATAGCAAAGATTTGGATAGACTGTAACAATGATGGTGTAAGGGGCATCAGTTGCGTCGAATGCTCCCAGCACAGTCAAATTAGTTGCTGTATAGAAATAAATAGCTCTAATATTGAGTTGTATTGTTAATTTCTCTATAGAACTAAGACAATTATGCCACTGATTGGAAAACTTGTTTGATTGATTAAGCTTTGTGACAATATGTACCATCGTCTATGATGTAGTGGAGTGATAATTTATCCATTTAAATGAAATCGAGAGGTTTAAATTTTAAAAAAATACACTAAAAACATTGAAAGCACTATTCCTTAAATAGGTACTAGGGTTA